CCCGCCCCGCCCGCCCCCGCGCCGCCGCCCAAGCCGACGGGCGTCGCGCTCCATCCCCTCTTGATGACGGAGAGCGTCGAGGTGCCGCAAGAGAAGAACGAGAAGCGCGCCATGCGCGCGCGATACAAGACAATGGCACCCAAGTTCTCGACGGTGCGCGCGAACGCCGCCGCTGCCGAGGAGTCGGCGGCGAAGGCAGCAAAGGTCGTGCCGCCCGCGGTCGCGCTCGCGAACCCGTACATCTCGACGCCGACGCCGGGGATCGGCCCCGAGACGCGCGGCGCGACGGCGCCCGCGCCTGCGCGCAAGTCGCGCAAGATGGCGTTCTCGAAGCCGGGCAAGTATATCAAGCAGGGAGACCAGCTGCGCAATGAGATCAAGCTTGAGGAGCTCAAGGCGCGCATCGCCGCGCAGTCGCGCAAGGCTGGTCTCGACTCCGAGTTCGATGTGTTGGAGCGCAGCCTTAAGCGGCAGGCGCCTCCGGCCGTCGAGTGGTGGGACGAGGCGATTATGCCGTCGGGCATGGGGTACGACGACTTGCCAAAGGCCCTGGAGTACATCGAGACGAATAATGAGAGTCTGGTGACGCATCTGGTACAGCACCCTATTGCAATTACGGCGGCGGGAGACAGGCGGCAGCCCGAGCGCGGGCTGATGCTCACGAAGAAGGAGCAGAAAAAGATGCGGCGACAGCGGCGCATGGCTGAGCTCAAGGACAGGCAGGACCGCGTGCGGATGGGCCTCATCCCCCCCGATCCGCCCAAGGGTGAGTTGACCACGGTATGCAGCTGACAGCAGTGCGCCTCGCGAACATGATGAAGGTCCTCACCTCGGACGCGGTCCAGGACCCGACGAAACTCGAGAAGCGTATTGTGCGCGAAGTCGAGCTGCGCGCCCTCAAGCACGAGCAGGACAACGCCGAGCGCAAGCTCTCGAAGGAGGAGCGCCGCGAGAAGGAGTACGCCAAGCTCAACGACGCCGAGTCCAAGAACGGCCTCCAGGCGTCCGTGTACCTCATCCGATACCTCACCAACGGGCGGCACAAGTTCAAGGTCCGCAAGACGGCCGAGCACGACCTGCTTACTGGCTTGACGATTTTCGCGCCCAACTTCGCCCTCGTCGTCGTCGAGGGCGTCGCGAAGAAGATCAAGCATTACCGGCAGCTGATGACGGCGCGGATTGACTGGACAGAGGAGCCGCGGGCACAGGGCGAGTCCGGGAGCGACAGCGAGGCGGACGAGGGCGAGGGGGAGAAGAAGGACGGGCCAGACATGAGCACGAACCGCTGCGAGGTGGTTTGGGAAGGCGAGATTCCAGAGCGCACGTTCAAGTTCTTCCGCGCACGGCATGCCGAGACGGATAGCGAGGGCAAGAACCTCCTCGGGCCAAAGTACGAGGGGTTGTGGGACCTCGCCAAGCGGTGGAATTGGGACGGCGATGTCTACTGAGCGCATCAAGCGGAGGGGGCGCGGTGCGACGGAGCGGCGGCGTGATGGCGCGACAGTGGCAGACGCGGACGCTCGCGTTACATGTATATTATCATCATCCGTGCGAGCGGTGAACAACGCCGATCCAATTCTAATCGGGTTGCTTGAGCATGCTGCTGCGACCCGATCATCACACGCCTGCGCATAACTACACCCTCCACCCACTCACCACTATACTCACCACACACGCTCACAACAATGAACACTCGCGCAGCTCGGAACCTCCCAAACGGCTGGAAGAGGCCTGCGCACCCGCCGCGCATCCCCGCCTCCTACCCGGCCCTTCTCCCGCTTCTCCACCTCTCCCCCGTCGCGCTCAACACCGCCCTCCGTGCACCCATCCTCTTCAGGCATGTTTCACGCGGCCGCAACCCCCACCGCCAAGCCGCCCAACTCGGCGATGCCTACCTCCGCGTCCTCCTCCTCGAGCTGGGCGCCGAGATGAACCTCCCCGTGGTGGCGTGTAACGTGAGCATACCCTTTCTGTCCCACCTCGCTCCTTCTCGCTTACATCAGCATCTCGTCAGCCTCGTCGGCGCCAATACCACCCTCGCACAGATCACGCTCGAGAGCGGCGTGCTCGACGTTGCCCTTCAGCGCAGCTCGTACTCGTACGCGACGGTGAACGCTGCCGCGGGGATATTCGAGGCGCTCATTGCTGTGATGCACGAGGAGATTGGTAGAAACTGTGCTAGACTAGGCTGACCTCAGGCGCCCGCGCTACCGGCATCCTCAGGAAGGTCCTCATGCCCTGGATTGCTGCTGTAATCGACGCCAAGGTCGTGCCCGCTGTTCGGCAGCACGAGGGTCGGGAGGCGGCGAACGCCATCTCGACTCAGATGCAGCGCATGTTGCGCGAGAGCCTCCTCCCATAAGCTGAATGATTTGTTAGTTTCTTGGTCGTGGCCATCGTCTTGATCAACCTCCAGCGTTGACCTTATGAGTATGCATTTATTGTCGTGCCATCTGGAATAACTGTACGTCAGCTTTGTGTGCAATGCACCGAGCAACCGTTGGCGGTCGCCATATCCATCTTCAGAGTTGTGTGTCGCCTAAATTCGCCGTTTTGGATTCTAGAGTGAAAAAGCTCCCGAGCTGCTGTGACGTTGTGACGTCCAAGCCGGCCCCGGCGTCACAACTTGCCATCACCTCACCTCTCACCACCTACTTCCATCACACATCGCCATGTCCATGCTCGACGACTGTGAGCCTCTTACACGTCCACACTAACGTCAGTTGTCGAGCATGCGGCTGGCCCCGGGCGAGGAGCCGCGCCCCGGCCCAGCGCGCTAGCCCGGGTCGAGTACGAGGGCTTCGAGCATGACGACCACACGGCCGACGACGTGTCGCCGCTCGTGCGAGCTGTGAGTCCTTCGTTTGTCGGCGAGCTGACAGCAGCTTGAAACAGGCTTCGTACCCACCGCACGTGCAAGCGCTTCTCTCCCGCCCCTCTTCTCCCTCAGCACTGTGCAGTACACGCCGCCCGCCAATATCCTGTTCCTCACAGCTGCGAACAATGTGCTCTTCTTCGCAACCCACCCCCTCTCTGTTGTGATCATTGATCTCAATGCGCCAGACGAGTTGGTTACGATTGACTTGCCACGGCCAACAGACAAGGGACCGCGCGATGTGTCGATCAAGGCGCTCTTCGCCGACCCCACAGCCCGGCATCTCATCATCACCACGTCTACAGGCGACGCATTTTACCTCCCCGTCGCCGGGATTAGCAGTCAACAGAACCGGCGGCCCCGCGCTCTTCGTCTCCGCCAGACTGTCACTGCCGTCGCGTGGTCCCCCATTCCATCCGAGAGCACCGATCCCAACTCCCCGCCCCCGACTGACGTGCTGCTCGGCTGCGTGAACGGCGCCATTCTGTCCCTCCCCCTCCCGCCATCCGATGATATCTTCAAGGTTCAGCTGCCCATGGGCAAGCAGCTCGAGCGCGACCTCCAAGTTGTGTATCACGTTGAGGGTGGTGAGACGGTCACGGGCCTCGCATTCGGCTTCTGGAAAGCGAAGAAGGAGCGCAAGGCTTGGGTCGTGTTCACCACGAAGGACAGAGTCTTCGAAGTGCAGGCACCCGTGACCACGACATATGCTGGGGGCAAGAACGGGGGGTGGGCCGAGGAGGTCTTCCGAACGGTTCGCGACGGCGTGCCCAAATTCCACGAGATGCCCGGTGACCCACCCAATTCCGAACTGCACACATTCATCCCCTCCGTTGAGGGACAGGTCGCTGCCGACCTCCCAGCACCCACTGCCATTGCGTGGCTGACCGGTGCTGGTCTGTATCACGCACGCTTGTCTCCCGTAGCATCCCCGGAAATCCTCGTCCAATCCTCCCTCCTCCCATACCCGCCTGCCCCCGGTGTCGACGCACCGCCACCCACCGCGTTCCGACGCAACGCTCCCCCACCCGCAGAAGAAGCTGCGCCAGTTCCCATCTCAACTGCGGTGACGCAATGGCACTGGCTGTGTCTCTATCCTGACCGCATCGTTGCCGTCTCGCGGCTCAGCGAGAAGGTCGTGTGGGATGAGCCTTTACCGCGGAGCCCTGGACAGAAGGCGCTCGGTCTCTCCTCCGACCCCGTGTCGCGCACGTTCTGGGTGGCGACCACGCAGTCGATTATTGAGGTTGTGCTGCAGAAGGAGGAGCGCGATGTGTGGCGCGCCAAGCTCGAGCAGAACTCGTTTGCCTCAGCGCTCGAGTACGCCGCTACGCCCGCACAGCGCGACATCGTGCTTTCAAAGCAGGGTGACGCGCTCTTCGCCGAGGGCAAGTACATTCTCGCCGCGCGGGCATACGCCGAGTCAACGCGCAGCTTTGAGTTCGTGACCTTGCGCTTCGTCGACGCGGATGAGCGTGACGCTCTTCGCGCATACCTTATCGGACGGCTTGACAAACTCGACAAGAAGGACCTCACTCAGCGCATGATGATTGCCACGTGGTTGCTCGAGAACTACCTCAGCAAGTGCAACACCCTGGAAGACCTGATTGCTGCGGAGTCAGCAACAAGCGACGTCGAGACGCTGCATGTTGAGCGCGACATGGTCGAGGATGACCTCAAGACGTTTATCAAGGACTACCGTGCCAATCTTGACCCCCGCGTCGTTTACGAGCTCATTCTTGCGCACGGTCGCATGGACCTGTACCTTTACTACGCCGAGCAGAACAAGGACCACGACCGCGTCGTCGAGCACTGGATCCAGGAGGAGAACTGGACCAAGGCCATCGACGTGCTCAGCCGTCAAGACTCGCTAGACTTGTACTACCGCTTTGCGTCGATCCTCATGCGCAACGTGCCCAAGCAGACAGTCGAGGCATGGGAGCGACAGTCGGCGCTCGAGCCACGCCGTCTCATTCCCGCTCTCCTCCAGCAGCGCTCCGAGCCACTCGCCACAAACCAGGCTGTGAGATATCTAGAGCACGTTGTGTTCCGGCAGGCCTCTACCGATTCCACCATCTACAACCTCCTGCTTACGCTGTATGCGAGCGCGAAGGATGTCGATGACGCCCCGCTTCTCCGCTTCCTCAACTCGTGTCCTGACGACCCCATCACCGAGCGGCCATACTACGACCTCGACTACGCTCTCCGATTGTGCAAGGCGCATGGCCGCATCCAGCCGTGCGTCCACATCTACAGCCGCATGGGTCTATACGAGCAGAGTGTGGCCCTTGCGCTGGAGAAAGGTGACCTTGAGTTGGCCAAGATCAACGCCGACAAGCCGGAAGACGACGAGGCGCTGCGCAAGAAGTTGTGGCTCAAGATTGCCAAGTATGTTGTCCAAGAGAAGGGCGACATCAAGAGCGCGATGAAGTTCCTCGAGAGCACCGACCTCGTCAAGATTGAGGACATCCTGCCCTTCTTCCCCGACTTTGTTGTCATCGACGACTTCAAGACCGAGATCTGCAGCGCACTTGAGGACTACTCGGCTCGCATTGAGGAGCTCAAGGCCGAGATGGCCGAGGCGACGCGCTCCGCTGAGAGTATTAAGCGCGACATCTCTGCGTTGAGCACGCGCTTTGTCGCAGTCGAGATGAGCGACAAGTGCTGGCGCTGCGGGCAGGGCATCACAAGCCGCCAATTCTACGTCTTCCCATGCCAGCACGCCTTCCACGCTGACTGCCTTATCTCCATGGTACGCCGGCCTCTCTGTGACCGCTGACCCCAGGCAATGGAATACCTCCCCTCCCCTTCGCTGCGGCGCATCCTGCACTTACAGGACGAGCTCGTCCGCTCCGACGCGCCCGGCCACAAGCTCCTTTCCGCGCAGTTCAGCGGCCCCAACACACCGCGCAGACAGGAGTCCATATCGGCGGCCGACTTCCTTCTTGCGCCCGGACGCCGCGTGCTCGCTGCCGGCGACCGGTTGCGCGAGCTCATCGTGCCGGACGCGCTGGCGCAGGCGGTGGTAGGCGGTAAGAAGAGGCGCAGCGCGCAGGACGAGGGGCGGCTGGAGGCTGCGCGTGCCGAGCTTGACGCGCTCGTCGCGGCTGTGTGCCCGCTGTGCGAGGGTGCAGTGGCAGCCATCGACAGGCCGTTTGTCCGCGACGGCGAGGACGCGGGCGACTGGGCCGTCTAGTGTTGTACTATAGATCTAGAGATGCTGCATACTGAGTAAGGCAAATGTCCAGGATCCGCGGAGTGGGGACCGGCCCGCCGACTTGGAGTGGCAGTCGACCGGCTATTAAGTTCCTATGCTGACCACTGTCTCCAACCGCCTGGCGCGCCTGAATTGCCTTCACTGCCTCGCGTGATCGCCGTTCTCGTTACCACCTCAGAGGATGAGAACCTGCCGGGTATGGCGCTCGCTACTGGGCCTCACAGCTCTCCTCGTTCCATCGCCGCCGTTGCGCATCTCTGCGAGGCAATCATCATGTACGCCTCTTTGGTCCTCTCCACCGCCACGAAGGCACTCGGAGTCGCGCCACTCCGACCACCCTACGTGACTTGAATACGTGGGCCGCCTCAACAACACCAGCGCCCTGACGCTTGGAAGAGGTGGACCCGCCGCACTCGAGCCGGGAATGCGCGGCGACAAGCCTCTAGTGCATAGTATGTGGCGATGGTCGTTCCAGGTGGCGCGAGACCGTTCCAAGTTGGTGCCATGATTTCCCCTTCCGCTGGAACCGAGTTGGCAGGCATTTGTGAACGCCATCTGTCCCGCGTGGCTGACGCCAACCAGCATGCGCCAACCCACTCAGAACTTTGGGAGGTGCTGCCGCTCGGCACTGAGATACCCGTAGCGAGCACGAGCATCCTTCGGCCGCCGTGCGATCAAACGTCCGCAGAGGCGGTGACAGCGTGCACGAGCGCTTCGAATAGGAACAGATACCTCGAAACGGGACAACACCGCTGGATGAGATGAAAGTGTTCGTTGCGGATACGCTGAGCACAATACCGAGCGGGGCATGGCCTGTCTGCACCAGACAAGTAGTTTGCGGATGGCGTCGACTCGCTGCAAACTGCAAGTCATGCATATGCGGAATGCTCTACAGACAGGCCTAGAGCTTGGCGAGTCTCAACCGGGTCTGAACATACGACCAACCACATGTTGATTGGCCACCGGGCCGAGCAGCTCTTGGCAGTGAAGACAGGGAATCAGTGGCGCCCACACACGCAATCATGCTTGAGATAATGGAGAGGGGGCGGCCTGAGTCGACGCCGCGGTATTGAACGCTGGACCAGTGGCAGAATTTCAACGCTCAGCCAGCATCCATAAAACGCATCGTCACCCTTAGGGGAGCGACGGGCTTTGGGAACATACACTCTCGACCAGCTCGTGTAGCGGCCGGAGGTCATTGAAGTCGTATGCTTCGCGTGTACGCTCGCACAGGAAACACAGGCCCGAGTAGAGGCCACCTCATGCAGCGGCGCTGCAGTGTTCCTATGCGACGGCACATAGGTGCACTTCAACCGTGTGACTCCCGAACAGTAACTAATGACGCTCGCCGCGTATCCGGACCCGCACGCGAGCCCGAATTATGAGCTTCTGGGAATTCTGGGACAGGTGCGACAGAGTGTGAGCTCATGCGAGTTCAGCGTCGAGTGCACCTCCCAGCTCTGCCCCGCCATCGCACGGTGCGAGGCTGCTGACACGCATCTCACAGCCCAGTGGGTCGCGACATGGGGTGAGAGTGGGCTTTTGTATTGCGAGAGGATAAGGCTCAACGACGCCCGTTGCGAGGGCGCTTGGTGCGATTCCAAGCGAGGAGAGTGGTTCCAAGATATCGGCATGAATTGGTTGCCGATCACTTCGGCACATTTCTCGAACACGTGGCTGAGGCCTGGATTTCCTGTTATTCTGCTGTTTTTTCAATAGGAGTGGCGGACGCCGTTCCCCTAAAGACAGTCTCGTGAGTCGCCCCACTTTGCATGCTGACCCCATTCTGGCATGCGTTTCAAACCCTCCCCATCGCATTCTCGAGGGCGCGTGTAAGCTTTTAGGAGTGCAAGTTGTCACGGCGGGAGAGCGACTGCAAACGCTAATGTGGGGGCCTCGTGCCTTCCACAGTGCCTTGATGAAGGATCTCATGACGCTCGCCTCTCGACCGTTTCACAGTTTCTGCACCCCGCACATCGTGCAGCTTCGGCCTCCAAGTGGCACTGCACGCCGTTCCTCAAACAAAGTTACACTTATGCTCTGACCCATGCCGCAGCGACGGGAGGTGGCCAGACCCTCCTCGCGCTGTCGCAGAAGCGCGGTGTATGCGTGTATGCGCCACACAGGGCGGGCTCACATTCTTTGCGTCCCGCGACGCCGCTAATACATCCCCTCCCTTCCCAGCGCAACCAGGCCCAGAGGTGCAAAGGTGCAAAGGTGCAGAGGTCCCAGTCAGAAGTCCAGACGTCCAGAGGTCCAGAGGACCGAGGCTTCCGGACATGGTGGCCACCGCAACGGGAGCATGGATGCAGCAACGGGAGCATGGATGCACAGAACAGACTTTATCACGCACTTGTCACTCACTCACTGCTCACCCTCACTCTCGTCCGCGCCCAGCTACTATGGGGACCCGGGCACGCAGCAGCTCGCTGGCGGTCCGCCGCATCTCGCTGCGCAACATCCTCGTTGCGCTCTGCTTCCTCGTCTCCCTCCTCCTCCTCGTCACCCTCCAGGCAGTGTACACGGGGTCGCTGCCGTCCGTCGTGGCGGCGTGGGGCGGACCACCGTCCAGCGCCGTGACGCAGCTCTGCGACCCCTTCCGCGTACTGCATGGCGCGGGGCGGCGACAAAAGCCTTCGCGCGTCCAGGACGTCCTCACATCCATCCCGGCAGGCAGCCAGCTCGGCGAGCTCAAGGGCCTCAACAACGACGAAAACAACTACAAGTGCGCTGCGGACCGCCACTCGCTGACGCCAGGTACTACACGGAAGCCAAGCTGCGACAGCTGACGGCGTGCATGGCGCGAGGGGACTGCCACCCCAACGCCGAGAATGTAAGTTCTGCCTGTCCCTCCGCCGCCTCTCCCCCTGCCACCCGCTTACCCCAGGTAATCATCTTCGCGGCATACCACTGCCACATGTCCGTGTTCAAGGGCTACGTCGGCGGCGAGGGCGTGTGGTGCAACGGCATGATCGACTCGCTCGAGCGGCAGGGCTACACGGTCCTCCTAGCCAAAGACGACTGGGGCTACGTCGCGCACATCTACCGCCAGATTCCCGACCTCGTCAAAGCCATCATCGGCGACGACTCGCCCGGCAGCCGGTACGGGCGTCCGCACGACTTCTTCCGCTCCGCCGCGCGCCCCGACGGCTTCCCGACGTGGAAGTTCTTCCGCTTCTACTACTTCCCCACGCCCAAGGGCACGGTCATCAGCAGCTACTGGTGCGTGTCGGCCGAGATCGAGTGGCGCGCCCCCGGCATGGGCAACTACCGCAGTGAGTATCCTCGCGAGTGCGCTGATGCAGACAACACGTATCTCGGGTATGCGCTCGAAGCGGCCGCGGAGACGCGCACGGTGCCGTGGGCGCAGCGCCCGAACCGCGCATATATCCTCGGCAAGCGCGTGCAGTACTTCTACAAGTGGCGGGAGGAGCCGTTCATCCCCGCCGAGTATATAACGCGCGCGTACCATGAGATGCGGAAGGAGATCCCCGACTTTGAGTTCGTCGGCGGGTTCATCGACGACCGCACGCCCGAGGAGAAGGAGACGCTCGGCGAGTGGAAGGTGCCCGAAGGCGTGCGGCAGCTGGGCAAGATGAACGCGAGCGAGTTCGACGACGCCGTGGCCAACTCCAAGGCCATGGTCGGCCTCGGGTGGCCGGCGACGTCGCCGTCGCCGTATCGCGCAATTGCACGGGTGGGTCGTGTTTGAGGTGTGGCTGACAAGCAGGGGGTTCCGTTCTTGAATCCGGTGAGCTTGGTCAATTGGTCCTGGCGTGCAGTCGCTGGGCTTCCCGGTCCTCCGTGGCGTAAGCTGACCCCAGCACACGATGCACCTGCACTCGAAAGCCGACGACCCCGCGTCCTGGGCCTTCGTGCAACACGACTCGCTGCGGTACGAGCAGCCTCCGTGCGTCGCCTCTCCTCCTCTCTTTCCCCCTCTCCCCCCAACTCTAACCCCAGCCACGTCTACAACACCGAAGCGAACAACTACGAGGGCTTCATCGCCGCCCTCCGGGCAGCCATGACGACGCCCGCCGAGCCCTACATCCTCCCGCGATTACAGCGGGACGCGCTGGACCGGCGCATGCGCGACTTCGTGCACCACGACTGGCGGGCCGAGGCCGCGCGCGTGCTCGCGAACCGCAAGAACGGGGAGGAGAGCGAGTTGGGCACCGACCTCGGCATGTTCGAGCTGTAGCTGTGACACTATTGTATGCATCCATGACTAGGCTCAGCTCTTCGCCACATCTTTGATCTCGTTGAGCAGCCGCCCAAGTCGAATGACTCCTCCGCTTTCGTGCCTTCGGTACACGCACAGACCGCATACGCCGCGGACACGCCCCAAAAACGACAACGGCCTGGTTCGAACAGGCGCTCCAGAAGGAATTGGATATGCCACGTGCATCGTATGCAGTTCAAGTCCAACGCGTTAACCACTCCGCCACGTTGCCGACGGTGGGCGGACGGGGCGGGTGTGGCGAGGCGGTGGCGGGCCGTGGGGACGGCGGCGTGGCTGCTTCTCGCATGAGTCGTTGCGCAGACAAGACCGGGGTCGTCCGGCGAGATGCACACGGACAACGAGGGAACGGTCCCCGTCGCCGCGCTTACCACTCTCGCGCGGCCCAGAAACACTCGGCATGCCGCGGATGTCGCGGTGGGCTGTATCGCTAACGAGAACGCTGCCCATGTGGCACTGATTTGCCGTTTTAGGGAGATATCACACTCGGCATCTCAGGCACCAAGTCACGTCGCTCGATACTGCCATGATCATCCATCCTGCCCAGCCCGCTCTACTTGAGCGCCATGTACAATAATTCCCTCGTCGTCCCAACGTCCCAACGTCCCAATGTCCCAACGTTACAGCTTCAAGTGCTCCAGAACCCACGCCGCGTCCTTGTCTGGTCGTCAGTGTGTATCTTGTATAGCCTCGTGCAACTCACCACCACGACCAGAGAGGTTGACGAGGATAGCCTCGTCCTTGGGGAGCGTGGGCGCGATGCGGATCGCCCACGCGACAGCGTGCGAGCTCTCAAGTGCAGGGATAATACCTTCGACGCGGGACAGCTCCATGAACGCGTCGAGTGTCTCCTTGTCGCTCGCGCTCTGGTAGTCGACACGCCCCACGTCCTTGAGGTACGAGTGCTGCGGCCCGATGCCGGGGTAGTCGAGACCCGAGGCGCACGAGTACACGGGCGAGGGGTTGCCGTCCTTGTCTTCGAGGACGTAGCAGGCCATACCATGGAGCGCGCCGGGCTTGCCCTTGGTGAGCGTGGCGGCATGCTGGCCCTCCTCTTCGAGCGAGAGACCCGCGGGCTCGACACCGACGAGGTGCACGCCGTCGTCCTCGAGGAAAGCAGTGAACATGCCCATGGCGTTGGAGCCGCCGCCGACGCACGCGACGACGTGCTCGGGAAGCTTGCCGTGCTTGTCCTGAAACTGCTGGCGGGCCTCCTTGCCGATGACGGACTGGAAGTCGCGCACCATTGCGGGGAAGGGGTGGGGGCCGACCTGGGGTTAGTGGTTGGGGGGGTGGGCGATGGGAGGGCGAGGGTATGTCCATGCCTTAGGGGCTGGAACGAGACATGGAGGGGCCGTGCGCGGTGACCGCCAATTGACACCAGCCATGGCATCGACCCGACTCCATCGCCAGACAGCAGCCCGTGCTCTTGAGCGATGCGAGATGCGCTAGACCATGGTCCGAGGCCGTTGTCCACATGAGGCCTCTAGCCCTCGAATTCAAGACACTCACAACAGACCCAATGGCGTAGATAAAGTTCTCGGGGTCCTTGAGGTACTCGTCGAACGCGTCGTCGACAGCGTCCTTGAGGGTCGCCTGGCCACGGGTCACGGGGATGAGGTTGCACCCGAGAATCTTCATCTTGGTGACGTTGGGGGCCTCCTTCTCAATGTCGACCTGGCCCATGTAGATCTCGCAGGGGATGCCGACGAGGGCGCAGGCGGTCGCAAGCGCGACGCCGTGCTGGCCCGCGCCGGTCTCGGCGATGACCTTCTTCTTGCCCATGAACTTGGCGAGGAGGGCCTCGCCGAGGCACTGGGGTTAGTAGGGAGGTCCTCCAACACTCACGTGGTTGATCTTGTGCGCGCCGGTGTGGTTGAGGTCCTCGCGCTTGAGGTAGATCTGGGCGCCGCCGAGCTTCTGGCTCAAGCGGCGGCAGTGGAAGATGGGCGACGGGCGGCCGGTGTACGTGGCATTGAGCTCGGCGAGCTCGTCCTGGAACTCCTTGGTCTTGGTGATCTGCTCGTAGGCGACGGCGATGTCGTCCATGGCCTTCTTGAGGTGCGGGGGCACGAGCTGGCCGCCGTAGGCGCCAAAGTAGCCCTCGGCGTTGGGCATGGGTGCGAACTTGGAGGCAGTCATTGTTGAGGATGAGGGGGGGAGAGCGAGCGAGAGGGAGAGAGGGAGAGAGAGAGCAAAGCGAGGGAGAGGGGGGATATATGCGACCAAGAGATGGGGAGCAGCCATTGCCCGCGGATCGCTCGCCGCACTGCCACCACCCGGGTTTTTGCACACCCGAGCATACCGATCTTCCAAACCCCGTTCAATGCCCCCCCCTACTTGGCCCCAGGCACACAGATCAGACGGCCAGCTGCGAGATTAGATCCTATTCAATTCGGCCCACTCTCCATATCTCGTGTCTCCGAGCTCTCTCTGTCATCCCACTCTCGTCCTCTCGTCCTCTCGTCCTCTCGTAACCTGTGCCTCGGCTAAACACCGCGCCTGGGTATTGGACGGCATCGACGCGTGCGGCAGTGAGGTGGGCGGCCCCGCCCCCGCACCCCGCACCGGGTGACTCGCCAGCGAGCTCCGCGGCGCCGTCCGCGGCCATGCCGGCGCTTATCGCTCGGTCTCGGTCAGCTGATACGGGTGCGGCGTCGGGTCGGGTTGCGGTGTGGGGTGCGGGGGAGTGAGTCACTACAAATGGAGGACATCACATGATGTCCCATGACCGATGTTATGTCCCACGGCCTATGACCTCGGGTCGCTATCGCTTGTAACGCTCACGGCCATCCTCGTCTTGTTGTGCGCTGGCCTTATGAGGTGGGCATCATTCCGATCCGGGCTCTCGGCATCCAAAGGTGCGCCGGGACGTAGATCTCACTCGGATGTGACAAGCAGTCTAGACCGGCCGATTCCATTCCCCGTCATGGTGATTCTTACCTCCAACAGCGAGGGGCGGTCTCTGGACTGTCATGACGGTGAGCAGTCTTACAGCCTCACAGCCTTGCACGCCTTGCCACCTCGCCATCCCACAAGCCTTGCACCTCGCAACCATCAACAGCATCTGGGCGGCTCGTACCTGCATCCCAGCCAGCAGCTTCAATGATGGCAACCGCCCCTATCCCAGTCAGCTCGCCCCAGCATCGCAGCGCCTTATCCTCCTCCCCCCGCACCCCCGCGCGCTTCCCAACCTGCCCAGCAAGACATACACCCACACCTACAACCTACAGTGCCCCAACAGCCCAAGCCGTCTTCACCAGCCGCATGTTGGCCCACACAACCACGCCCGCCACGCTGAGCACCATGAACGCCGTCTGCGCATACCCGAGATACCGCCCCGCCCACTGGAAGTGACGCGCCGGGTGGAGGTGGGCAAACAGGGGCAGCACATTAGCCCCGAGGTTGAGCACGAACGTCACCTTCTGGTGCACGTTCAGCGCCGGCGATGGCGCGTCCGTCCGCGCCCCGATGAGCATGTACCATGCCATCACGTACCCCCCCGCCAGAGAGAGGAGGGGGCCGCTGAGCTTGGGCCACAGGCTCATGGCGGCGATGTGGTGCATCTGCACCGCTACCGCCCACTCGTCGTCGTCGCGGCGCAGGGCTGAGGCGAAGGCCAGAGGAAGTAGCGGAAGCGCCGGGTCACCGGGCCACAGTGTTAGTGCACCGGCTGTCGCGGTGAGTGCGATGGGGAGGAGTCTCGCCGTAGCAGGCACAGCGTCGGATGAGGCGAACTCGTTCGCGGCGGGCCTGAGGGTGTAGCTCGACTTGAGAGTGAGATAGGTCGTGGGGAGTAGAGCAATGGCCTGTTGTCAGCACCCCCATGCACAAATGGTGACCCACTGAAAGAATGTTGCGAATGGAGATAAGAGAGGCGAAGCAGCGGAAGACGGCCTTGACGCTCCCAGCGAAACCGGCGGCCTCAATCGCAGACACGAGAGCCGCGCCTCGCTCCCGAAGGGGCACAGGACTCATGCTGCTGAGCACAAACAGTGTCGCGAGCACAGAAACAGCCAGGCGGCTGAGGTACCCTCGGTCACGTCCGTTAAGCCAGATGTTCTTGCCGACAGCATACACGATAAATGCTGGGAGGTACACGCGCGTACTCCCCTCGAACCACGTTGCGGCCGTCATGAATGCCGCTGCAGCTGTGTCGTATCCACTAACTGTCGCAACAAGCGCCCACGCAGCGAAACCCAACGCCCCGCGCACCCTGTTATCAGCTTGTTTTGTAATTTAAGACGCACGGAAGGAATGCAGCCTCTCGGATCGCCAGCACAGGCGCAAGAGCCAGGTACACAATCGCTGCGACCTTGGTGCGCAGCGTGCGCCCCTCTCGCCACCCCTCGACCGTCGACCACACGACAGCGGCAGTCCAGAGCAAACACTCGGCGGCAAGGCGCGCGCCGATTAGCGCCGCCGCTGCTCTTTTCCCAGGCCACGCAGTGGGGTTCTCGACGGGAGCCCCGAATGTTGCCTGGCATAGGGGCACGAGAGGGCGGAGAAGTGGCGCGACACGCCCTGCACATGCCAGCCGCAGGGCGGCGGCTTCGGACGCGAGGCGTGTACGCGATGTGTTGTCCACCCCTAGGGTTAGCTGTCACCCATACCGCACCAAGTTGCGGCAGACGTACAAAGCATGACAATTGTCAAGGAGACACGGACGGCTACGCAGGTGAAGAAGGTCGCTGCCAATGTTCCGCTTGTCCCGAGGACAGAGCTGGCCGCCTTGGCTGCGCGGCGGACCGGCGCGTCATGGGCGGCCTCGCGCGCGCGTGCGCGACGCCAGCGCTCCTCGTTGCGTGCTCGGCGGCGGCGCTTGTCACGCTCGCGGTCCTCCTTGCTGCGAGGACGGACCACGTCTTCTCCGCTTACACTGCGGCTCGGAGGGGGTGCGGGGGACGGAGGGAGGCCAGAGGGTGTGGGGACGTCGCTTGGGGGAGGAGAGAGGATGCGGCTCTGTGTCGAGGGCGAGTCGGTGGTCTCTAGGGTAGCGTCGCGTCGGCTGACGCTCGAGACGTTGCTGTATGTCCGATGCCGCATAGTGGGGGGCGCCAAGCCTCCGGGATGCGAGTAGAAGGGGGATGGCGCGCCATTGATTCCGAAGGAGGAGAAGGAGGGGTAAGTGCCCGTCGCTTGAGAGGCGAGGGTGGTGTGGCTAGCAAAGGTGCTGAAGGACGCGAGCGAGTCCATGTCGGTCCCATCGTCGCTGGGAGTCAGATACTACTGTAGTCTCAGTCTAAGAGTTGGACGTACCTGAGGGCGGCAGAGCGCTCGGCGCGGTGTTCGCGATAGCTCTTGCGCGGCATGGCAGCAAGAAGGGAGTGGAAGGAGAAAGAGATGGACAGAGAGAAAAGAGAGAGAGAGAGAGAGAGAGTGGCATGTGTAGTCCTCCTCTCCGCCTCGCCGCCTTGGCTTCCACCGGGACCCGGATCCGGCACCGCTCAACCGCTTTTGCCGGTATCCAGTTGTTTTGCGACCATTTCCAGAGTTGCGAGTGAACAACAAATCACGCTGCCCAACTATGAGGTGGGATGGGACTGCAGAGCTGCAATGGGCGCGTAGTCTGGATTGTGCTGCAAAGCATGCATTGAGTTTGTGGCTAGGAGACTCTGTACTGGTACGGAATGGCCTATGTTATGTTTGGGCAAGGGCATTGGAGAGATGCCACGTGGCAGGGGTGGTGCGGAATCAAATCATACTCCGTCTCCGTCGTCATGTTGATTTCTGGTTGTGGCCTCAACCTTCCTCGGGTCCTCGCTCGCTCTCTTGCTGCAACGCTCATCGCTCTTTCTCTTTCTCTTCAATCTCTTTTCCTCATCCTCATCCTCATCCTCATCCTCATCGTCGCTGGAACACTTACCTGTCCTTTGCCGCTCAGTTGCAGCACAGCCCGTAATCTCTCATCTCTCACCCTCCCCCCTCCCCTCCCCTCACCATGTCCAAACGCCCTCAACCCCACAAGGACTCGTCTTACACTCACTTCAAGAAACCTCGCTACTCGCATTCAGCTCCCACCACCACCACCCCTCCCCCTCCTCCAGGTCTCACCCAAAAGAACGCCTCTGAAGTCTTACAGCGCTACTCGGGATGGCTGCGCAATCGTCCCCCAGATACCGTCCAGCACCGCATCGAGACTGTTCAGGTTGACGGCCACGATTGCTATGTCGCGACTGTCATCCTCCCAAAGAACAGCAACGTTTTCCCAACTCATGTGCAGTCGGAACGTCCTTTCCCGGATCAGATGTCAGCCAAGCGCAATGCCGTTTTCCGCGCCATCTGCGAGCTTTATAACATTAGCGAGATTGACGACAACCTCATGCCCACTCCTAAGAATCCGTCCAAGCCAGGTCCTCCCCCCAGTGCGTTCAAGGATCTCACCCAGCCAGTCGCCAAAAATGAGCCCTCGAGCCGCTCGTCTCGTTCTCCTCCTCCTCGCCCGCCCGAGAGGCCTAAACGGACCTCTGAGGGCGCGGGCAACGGAGACGTGGAGTCATCTTTCCGCACTTCTAGTAACAAGGTGCCGCTTTCTCGCGAGCACCACCATTACGGCCGTTCTCACGAAGAATCGCGAAATATGGCTCGTGAGATCCTTGGTCCCAAGCAATCCTCAGCAAACCACGAATTCCTCGCTACGTCCCGATTCTGGGCGCGCAATCCCCCGATCGGCACCCAAGCATTTTGCGCCGTCATCAGCATCACTTTCACCAGACGCTCCGACTTTGACAAACTCTGTCGTCGCCTCTGCATTCTCACCTCGCGTCCGCTTCCGTTGGGTGAAGTTTCGCTTGACATTCACGATCACCACAACAAAGACCTGCGTCACTTTCCGCACGTGAGCGTGGGTCCTTCTGTTCCAGTCGAGCTTTCCGAGCGCCAGCTAGACCACACTTTTGAGTGGACTCGCAAGTTTGTGCGCTCCATCGCCAACCAAAAAATCGATGGGCTGTTGGAGAAGGCACCCTACCTCTTCCTCCCGCTTCGTCGTGGGTTTGCCAAGACCACGTGCACAACACACGATATTGCCTGGGAAGAGCTCAACCTCTGGGACTCGCCTGTTCGTGAGCTGGATTTGCGCAATCCCGACGAGCTTAAGCGTTCGCTCGAGGACGCAGTTCTGTCTCCTCCAGCCGAGTTCGCCCACAGGCAGTATGCTATGCGTGTTCGCTTCGATTTGACCCCATACTCCCCCGCACCTCGCAAACCGGATGTCATCATCGCTGAGCTAGCCACCGAGAGGACTCGCAGCCATACACTGCCGCGGCTTCTTTACCCTGACCAGCCGATTGTCGAGGCAGAACACGTTCAATCAGCGGCCAAGGGCGGGTGGGTCTGGACGCTGAACGAAAATAGGCTACTGCACCACGTCATTCCTGAGCTGCTGGCTCTCTACTTCCTTCCTGCCTCCGTTGTGCGCACAGGAACTCTAATCCCCAACATCATGAGTGCTCTTGACGAGCACCTCATTGCGGCAGAGTGCAATGAGGACGTGTTTGCAGGCAAACTTGATCATGTTCACGTGCAGCATGCCATTACGACACCGGCCAAGCGTCCCCTCCCTCACAATTACGATCGGCTCGAGACACTCGGCGATGCGGTCCTCCACTTCATCGCGAGTGTCGACGTGTGTCGTCGAGCCGAGCCGGAGGAGGAGGGCGAAGCCGATGCGGAGCACAGACTTCGCACAGAACGCCACCTCATCGTTTCTAACCGCACTTTGGGGGCCTCGGCGGTCAAGGCAGGTATCATCAAGTACGTGCGTACCCGCGTACCCAAGCGCCGCGATTACTGCCCTCCAGGGTGGATAGTTGAAGATGACGGGGCGCTGCATGACGAGAACATCTACTCTGACTCGCTTGGAGGCAAGGTAGGTAAGGACTAGAATGGGCGCCTGACGACAGATTGCCGGTGATGTGGTGGAGGCACTCCTCGGCGCAGCCTACCTCTCGGGTGGCATGACTCTCCAGCCTGCCCTGGACGCGATCCACACACTGCACATCCCCATCCACTTGAGGTCAGTGGATGAGTTGCAGACTAGGCAGGTCTTGGACCGCATTCTCGGCGGTCGTTCTCGCGCGTCCGAGGGGCGTTTGGCCGTGCTAGACTACCAGTTCATGGATGCGGACAAGGGTAAATCTGTCCTGAGCATCCCTCCACGAGCCATCAACTACGAGCAGTACTCGTTGCTCGGCAATGCGGTGCTGGAGCTGCTCGTCACGGAGCAGTGCTGGCAGCACTCTCACCTAACGCCACAGGACATGACCAAGATCAAACACGGGTGCGTCAGCATGGATGCGCTCGGCGCGCTCGCGGTGGCCACCGATCTCGTGGAGCAGCTTTCTGTCTCCCACGAGATCCAGGGGCGCCTGAACTCATACGTCGCCGAGATGCGCGCGAGCGAGGGCCTCGCCCGAATCCAGCGTCAGCGACGGTACTGGGAGCCCGTCTCCGAGTTCAAGGTAAGCGCGCGCCAGGTGGCGCTGACGACAGCCTCTCGGCTCCGCGTTCCAGGCCGTCATCGGCGCCATTGCCGAAGACTGCTGCTTCGACCTCACGACTCTTCGCGCGCTGTACAACGCGCACATCGCGCCGTGGGTGATCAAATTCGGCCCGCCCGTGCCCAACATGTGCCCCCGGACCCGCCTCCCGGAGGTCATGGAGGCTAAGGGGTGCAGGAAGTGGTATACGGCGCGTGCGCACTCCGACGCCCCCGGGCACCGCGCGACAGGTGCGTCCCGCCCCGCCAGTGCTGATTGCAGACGTCTTCGTGCACGGACAAGTCGTGGGGCACGGCACGGGTTCGACTGTTCTGGAGGCCATTACGGCGGCTAGCGAAGTGGCGCTGGACGCGCTGGCCGATCGCCTCGACTCACTGTGCACCTGCCGCGCGGGGCGGGGCGAGTGATCCAAAATCGAAGCACACAACGACGCAAGAGTCGGAGTGGTGAATGTGTAACTGTGTACTACTGTACTACTTGTGTTTTAGTGAGTGTGAAGAGCGAGCATAAGAGCATGAGCGTGTGCATGACATGCGCATATCCCCATACATCCATCAACAGACTCCGCAGAGATGAGATGCGATGCATATGCGATTCTATACTGTACTTTTGAGTGGTGCTACTTGTCCTTGTCCTTGTCGCCCTTCTCCCGCGTCAGCCGCCCGAACAGCCGCTCCGCCCACCCGATCGCGCCGCCGATCGCATGCGCGACCTTGTCGCCCACGCCCTCGTGCTGCGCCGGATCGACGAACGGCACGTCTTCGGCCTTGGCCTTTTCCTGCTTCTCCGTCTTCGGCGAAGGCGGAGGCGGCGGCGAGCGCGGCGCCCCGTCGCTGAACTTGTCGGGGTGGGGCGGTGGCGTCGTGCCCGCCCTCGCGCTCGAGTCGAGGAAGGAGAGGTCGGGTGTGCGGCCCTCCACGTCGTCTGCGTAGGCTTGGATGATCTGGCGCTGGCGCTTGGTGAGGGATCTGGTGTCAGCGAGTCACCCGGCCGCTGCTTGCTACCACCGCCGCTCCCACCACCTCTCTCTCTCTCCTCCCCCCACCTCCCCCCACC